GGAGAGAGAGGATATAGGAGTGTTGAGACCCCCCACCATCTAAAGGTGCCCAAGGTTGAGAAACACTGGTGTATATTGACATTTGGATGAAAACTCCAAATTCTATGGATACCTCTGAGTTTAAATTCTCGTTGCCAACTTATCTAGAACAGCCAGACTTAGACTGGGGTTACCTTTCACCAGCCATCTCCTGCAAATGGCTTTATGTGGGTGCTGAGAAGGGGGGGTGCAGAAAGTCTGAACCCAGTTCCCCATCCTGAGATTCAGCATGTTTTAAGACCCATCCAAGCGCTAACGTCGTTTGGACTGTGAATGGAAAGATGGCTTTCTTCTGTGCAGTTTTCACACAGGTGAAGAGAGGCCAAAAGGGTCTTTTTGGGGGCGGCCCCCCGTGGGCATGCCTTTGGCCCCTCTAGCACTTCAGGGGCCCCTCAACAGTTCTGCAAAGATCCAGTTCAGTGGTGTGCTAGGGCCAGCTCGTATCGGCTCACGAGAACCGATGGTTAACTCTTCGGGAATTCAGCAAGCCGGTGAAGAGCGGAGCTGACTTATGATGCCCACCGTGCCAATCAGCTGTTCTACGGCTCGTGGCACGGTGCTGGCAATGGAGCTGGCAGAGCCAGTCCTAAGCATTTACCAGCACATCACTGACTCCGTTCATCATGCATGATACACCCTCCCTTCTGATATTTATTGATTTATTTATTGTATTTGTATAGGTAATCTATAAACATATATAAGGTGATAAAGTCCCAGTCCCGTTCAAGAAGTTCACCTGGGATCTATGTGGTTCTTAAATGGGGTAAGGACCCCCTGGGGGTCATTTGGGCATATCCTGGAGCCATTTGCAATTGCTTGTTTGTGTGCTGAAGATCCAGTTTGGGTCTGGAGACACTTGTGCAGAACAACAGTCTGTTGCTTGTGGGGGGATAATGACATTACTTGTGACCGGGAAAAGGGGTAACTGGGTCAAGCCGTTTAAGAACCACTGATCTCCAGTTATCCAACTCCAGGATGGGAGTTTGATTCTGCTGAACTCCTACATCAGTTTGGAGTGACCGAGATGCCAACCTGGGGCTCCCCCCCGCCAGGCCCCGGATACTCACTTTCTTGGCAGGGCTCACATACAGTGTTGGTGCTACCGCAGGGCACGCGTGCCCCAAAGCCCGGGAGGCAGAGGGTGCAGCAGTTTCCAGACGAAGTGACCTGCCCGTTCTCGCAGCCTTGATGCGCCAGAAGCTGCAACCAGAGTCAGAGAGAAGAATCAGCTAAAGACGGGGATTTTTCAGGCCTTTTTCTCCTTAACAAGGCGAGAGCATGGAAAAAGGCTGAGCAGAAGGAACTGAAGAAGGAAAAGAAGAGTAACAGGAAGGGGGTGTCCGTGGGTGGTCAAAAAAGTCAAGATGGCAGGTATAAAAACAGGCAGGGGTACAATCCTGTGGTTGCACCCACCATCTTGACTTTTTTGACCATCCCTGCAGAAGTTCCTGGTGGGAAATCAAAGGAAGCATCCAGGGTACATTTCTTGTTCTGGTCCCTACTTCGGAACGTCATTTATTTCAGCATCCAAACCAAGTCGGGAAGAGAAACTGCTTTATCTCTTAATTTAGCAGCAAAACTGCTGTTCAGGTGACCCTGGGGTTTCAGCGGCAAGACGATAAAATTAAAATTTGGGGGGAAACACCTATTTTGGCTTGTTCCAGTCTTGCCTGACTGGCCGTGGGGACTAGTTATGGCTGAAAACCACCAGGGCGAGGATCCAAGAACCAACTTTCGCTGTTCAACGCCCGGGTTTTACGCAGCATTTTTCCAGCAGACCTCAGTGACTTCATCCATTTGCAACCCTTCCTTGTTCTGGACCCCTCCACTGCCATGTTTTACTACCAGGAAAGAAGTCTGCTTGAAAACCTAGGAAGCAGGTATCAACCCAACTGGTGCAGACAAACTGCCAGGCTGCTGCTTCCTCCGCCGCCTGTCTCTGCACCCCCAAAATCCATTGAGGAGGAAGGGGAGGCACCATTGGGTGGGAATGCTCAGAGTTTTTCCTCTGGAAGCAACTTCTGCCCTCCCCTCCACCTGCTTCGCCCCCCTCCCCAAAAATATCTCAGCTTTAAAGGAAGGGTTCCAAGGCTGTTGAAAGTCACTTGTACTTCTGGAGGTAGGAGAAGGAACAACCCTGGTTAGATCACACCACAGCGGACGGGGCCTTTGTGGAATCTTGGTTTGATTTTTATCCAAAAATTCCAGAGCCGCTCAGAGAACGAAGGCGGGTGCCAAAGGAAGATCATTATTTCCCCGCTCAAGCTTTCATACCCTAACCCTCCCGCCGGCTCGCCCTTTGCCAGCACAGCCTAGACACCCCCAAACCCAGTCCACTTTCTTGCAAACCCCCTATCCTTGCCCAGCAGCAGCGGGAATGATGGGCGTTGAGGTTCTGCCCTCCTGAGGGGCACCAGCTGGGGGAAAGGAAAGACGGGGGAATTTCTGGTGTGGCAAAGTAGAAAAAGCACGCCTTGCTGTTGGAACGGAGCCCCACTGAAGCCGGCAGTGCAGCTGGTCTTATCTGAAAACCAAAGCAGGGTGGGGGGTCCCCCAAGACTTTCAAAAGACTTAAATCCACATCTGCCACAGACAGAAGGCACTTTCTGCAGAAAACAGCAAAGGCCGGGCAGGAATTGTTGCGCGCCCCTCGGCTCCCGCAACCGGCTCATTATTTTCCCCAGACTTCACCCTGCGGGGTCCCTATTAATAACCTTTGGAATGCAACCGAAACACCTCTCCTGCTGAAAAAGGGGGCCCTCCTTCCCCCCCTTCCACCGAGGAGGAATCTGCTGCCAAAAGATGCCCTGCAGCTGGCAGCGAGGAATTTCTTTCCACCCCAGCCCTGAGACCTTGGGCAGAAGGAACAAGACCGCCCTCTGTTCCTTGTTGAGTTTTGCTCCCCCTCCCCGAAAAACCATCCAGAGTCCAAGCCCCTGTTCTAATTAAGCCGAAACTCCCGCCGGAGAGGGGATCATGTTACAAGAAGGATCTCATCCATCCTTTTTGCAAATAAAGAGAAAAAGGAGAGGGGGGCGTCCTCTGGAGAGTTTCATCTCCCTTTCCGAAAAGCCTCGCCTTGGAACATTTTCTCCATTCCGCCTCCGAGCCAAGAACAAAGCCCGTTAATTGGCTTGCCCGGCATCTGGAGAGAGTTAATGATTGCAGGCCCATCTGGAAGACGGACCCAAACGGGGGGCAAAGCAACCGGGGTGTGCATCGGTGCCCCTGGGTGGGACAGAGACGAAAGGGCTTGCAATGCGGTACCCCCAAGGTGTCGGTGGCTCCACGTTGTGCCGTTCAACCCAGCCTGGAACATTTTGCAAAAGGAAATGTCTAAGCTAGTGTTTCTCAACCTTGGCCGCTTGAAGATGGGTGGACTTCAACTCCCAGAATTCCCCAGCCAGCTGTGCTGGCTGGGGAA